TTACACGAATAGCCGAAGACAAACAGTTGATCCAAATCGGGGTCACTGTTAGCGCCGCTCTTGTGGCCACTATTGTGTGTCCGGTCGCCAAACGATGTCTTGTGGTGTCCGCCGGCGGCCGTCGTTGTGGGCGATGGCTGTGACCAGAGATGTGTCGGTTCGGAACCGATGGACCGAAACAGCGAATACGAACTCAAAGCCGTTTCCGATGTCATCCCCGATGTGTCCATTCTTTCGGGCAATCGATTCGATGTCAACACTCTTGGGATACACTTCTGGCCCACGATATGGTCGGTAATCACGGCTCAAGTGATTAACAATTAATTAAAATATAAATAATCATAAAATTGTGAATAAAATTGCAGTCAAAGCCATAATATCTCCATTTAATGGTTCGTTCAGATATGCCGTTACTTTTAATGGGGGTATGAGTTAGAGTTTATGCCCCCTGAGTATGAGTGCCCATTAGTGCCCATGGTCAATTTAGTCAATTGTTATTAATTGTAATATAAATTGTAATTAAAATATTTTTTGAAAGTATTATTTTGTTAATAAATACTGTGAGGAGAGAGTGAGTGAAATGTTGTGCGAATTGAATGCAATCATTGGATGCAAACAATAGTTTGAGTTAAGATGAGTGTAAGTGATAGCCGAGTATTGTATGACAAGTGTTGCCCCGAATTCATGTCAAACTATACCTAAAAACTACTCAAAAATCTCTATTCGTATAATTAAAACAATAATTAAAAATTTTTGGTTATTTTTTCTAATTTATAAATTATTGCATTTATAGGAAACTTTTCATTTAATGATAGCCTAACCTATGCTTAAAACACGAGCGATAAAAGTTTAGTAACAATTATTATGTGTTTTTCATACAGAATTCAATCAATTAATTAATAAAAATACAACAAAAATATTTCGCAAGTAATCGGAAAAATTGTTTCATTAATTTTCAAACCATATATTTGTGACCAAAAATGAGGACAAAATAGAAAACCAAAAACAAGTTTTGTTACGAAGAAATTGCAATGCATTTGAAAGTCAATCAAATACTGTATCTATGAATGGCTTGAATAGTGAAAAAAAAATTACAACACTTTTCCCACTATTGAGTGAAAAGTATTGAAAATTGAAACTCAAAAACATATGAAAACATTTATTTTCATTACATTTCATAACAAATTTCTATGCATTTAATGCCATAACTCTATTGACGTGTAGTTTCTGTAATAGTATTGTGTTTTTTAATCACATATTAATTGTAAACTTATTCAACACTTTAAATGGATATTCAATTGATTACATAATAATTGTTTATTTTAGACAACAATTTATATAATTATTAAAGCAATCATTGAATGCAAAACAAACTCAACGATAGTTAGTGTCCGTCAAAAGTGTTGACAACATATAATTGGTGTCAATAAGAGTTGCGGTGATAATCATCACCCAATATGGATCAGTTCACTCTTCTCATGCTGTTGTCTTTTTCCATGCTTTTCGGCAGTTATTTCTCGGGAACCATTCCTCTGGTCTTCACATTCTCCGAGGTTTGTCTCCCAACTAAGCCATTGAATTATAAGCTTATTGACTGTCCATTACGGGATCAACTCATGACAATCCATAATAACATTGAATTACATGTGATTGACATAATGTTTCAAATATAATGTTTGATTGTATTTCAGGACAAACTCCGATTGTTGAGTGTCTTGGGCTCCGGGATATTAGTGGGAACCGCTCTCAGCGTTATTATTCCCGAAGGGGTCAACACGTTATACACGTCTTCTCACGGTATCCATTCATCTCTCTCTCTCTCTCTCTCTCTCTCTCTTCAAAATCGAGACATTCTTCGTATTCGCATAAGAAGTCTCATAAGAGAAAGCGATCTAAATCTCGATCTCTCTCCACAACTAAATTGTGATCAAATAATGACCAGAATTTCATCAACACTTGAAATCAATTTCATCGACAAATGAGACGAAGACTGAAGACAATCCGCATCAAGTGATTGGTCTGACTCTAGTCATAGGATTTGTATTAATGTTATTAATCGATCAGATTTCTAACCGACACAACACTGCCAGCTATTCAGTCGCTCTACAAAGTGGTCAGTCATTCAATGCATACGAAACTGTGGATTCAGTTGTGAATTAGACGTCTCTTTCAATACTAACCATAGATTCTGTCGAAAACGGCGACTCTCTGTCCACTTCTTCACCGAAGCGTTCGTCCAAAATAACGGCAACCATTGGTCTTGTGGTGCATTCTGCCGGTCAGTCACTCATTCAGTCCACGACTGGAAACACAACTATCACTTGAAATGAAAAATAATTTTGTCGTTTAAAACGGGTTGCGATTGAATAGCGGACGGCATAGCGTTGGGAGCGGCGGCCACGACATCGCATACGGACGTCGAGATGATTGTGTTCTTAGCCATAATGTTACACAAGGCTCCGGCGGCTTTCGGTTTAGTGACATTCCTAATGCATGAGGGACTCGAGCGGTCGCGACTACGCAAACATTTATTGGCATTCTCTCTGAGCGCACCCATCGCTGCGTTCATCACGTTCTTCGGCATCAGTCAGGGCACCAAAGAAGCCCTTTCTGACTATAACGCAACCGGTCTGACCATTCAATACATACACACGCTTTCCCTCTCGTGTACTCATTGTTCGTTATGATTGACATTAGGTGTGGCGATGCTGTTCAGCGCCGGAACCTTCCTATACGTGGCCACAGTTCACGTGTTGCCCGAAATAACACAACACCAGAACCTGAAGCTCACGGAACTGTTGGCATTAGTGGGCGGAACGTTCATACCATCGCTTCTGACTGTTAAACATCATCACTGATTGATTTGTTTTTATAGATTTAATTATTTTGTTTTTTAGATAATATTTATATATAAAACATCTCCAAAACCATTGCGAGAGTATTGGCAAAACAAAAACCATATTGTTTTTTATCTCAAGAGTTCTGTGATATTTGTACGTCAAATGCTTTTAAATATGTACAGTATATATGCATCAAACTATTTATGTATATGTATTGTAAACGACTCTTCCGATGATAAATGAATGGCAAAGAATTGTGTGATTTCTGACATCAAAATAAACAGTTTTTTCTAAAACATTGTCAGCAAATGGTTATATAATATAGGCTTAAATATCGCGAGAGTTTGAAACTGAAAATTGTTGTCCGGGTATCACACGCACGAGAATAGCTCAACGATTGTTATATTATTTTGTAAGTTATAAATTAAAAGTTATAACTTATACAACATTTCAATACAAAATCAGTGCTCAAAACCAATGAGTGATTTGTAGAAATCGAGTGAATGTTTATTTATTCAAATATAAATTTGTCATAAAAATCAATGAGTTATTTAATAACTGGAAAACACATTAAATATAACATAAATAATATTAAACATTATAATAAAACTGATAAACTGTGGCACAGAAGACAACCAAAACGGTTAGTGACATGACTGGGAAGCGTGCGATGGAGTGGAATAAAAACGGGACAATACCGGCCTTTTTGGCCCGACTTTTGGCCAGTTTGAGCCGCAATTGTTTACGGCTCTCCTGCTCTTTAATCATATCACTCGGTGGGTGTCTGTCCATCAGATCCACGGCTGACTCGATCAATGACTCGATGGGCAACTCTTCCGTTTCGGGTATACGTGTCAAGAGTTGATGCAATGACGGCATATCACAGTCGGTGTCCAGAATGTGGCGCTCTTTGTGTAATACTAGCGCTACTGTTAAATACAACGGCATTAGACTGTGGCTCACGAGGAAGAAGTCGAAGAGTCGGGTCACGTGTTCATAGGTGGGCAACACGTGACTAAACCAAGTGATAACCCAACTCAGCGCGAAGATAGTGCCCACGTCTGACCTCTCCATGTGGTCGCCCAACGGCTCGCTCTCCCGTCGCACCAGAATCGGGATAATGTCCATCAGATCCGCCGTCTTCTCCATTGTTTTGTCCATAAATATACGGAAATGTGTTTTCGACAACTGATTGACGACATAGAAAGCCATCTCTTCGCCCAAAACCATGAGAAAAGTGACACAAATGTCATGATATCCCTGAAAGTAATGCAATTCCGGGTTTTTGATCAGTACTCGCATTATCAGCCGAACCAACGAGTCCTGCATTGAGATCCGATGGTCGGTGTCTATCGACGGCGGGAACCGTTTCAACGATCGGTTCACATCCAACACCACTTGATTGTAGAACTCATGGCTTTCGATGGTCTTGAGATCGGGTCGCGGACTCGTCTCCACGACCGACACTTTGGCCACTTTGGGCCATATCTGTCGCCGCAGATTATCGGTAATGAATCCCTGGCCAACGGTCGCCAATCGGCGCAAACCTCTCGTGTCCGACCGCTGCAGACAATTCAATACATCCGTCATATGAAGCACTTCTTCGTCCGACAATTGGTCGTCGATTTGTGAAAACACTTCGTCGCTGTCCTCCTCTTCGGCGCTGAGCCCGTCATCGGTGGTCAACCCATTGGCCACCGTTTTGTCATCGCTTTGGTGGCACTCTTTGTCCACAAAGTGGTCAACCATTTGTTTCATAACTGTTTTGATTGATTGATAAACAATTCACACAAACATTGAATTTAATAAATCAATTGTAAAACTCATTCAATATTTGCATTGATTTTGAGTTGTGTTTACGTTTTGATTGCATTCATGACGTGTTCTATTCGTATATAACGTGTCATTAGATTGGGGGGGCATTTGTTGAACTCATTTTAATGTTAGCACAACTTATGCCATGGCCTGTGATTCCCCCCAAAAGGGGGGCGAAGAGAACGTTACATATAATACGATATATGAATAGGAAAATAAAAACACGTGATTCACAGACAGATGTGTTTAAAAGTCACACATTTTATAGACGATAATAAAACGTGATTTAATTGGATTTAAAGTGCATTTAAGTGGATATCTGTTTGTTTTGGACACTTGTAGGCATAGTATGGCTCAGGGAAAGCTCAAAGTGAAGGCAAAACTGCCCCCAAATGCCAAACAACACTCTGTCCACAGAGGCGTCAATAGGATTAGCAAAGGTTTGTTATAATTGTCTGGTTTTTATTGATTTAATTGTTTGAATTACTATATGAATGGATTGGTGGACACAATAGCGCCCAAAAAGCCCAAGAAGTTAACGGCCACACAATTGCTTCAGAAAGAAGTGACCAAAAGTATCAATAGGACTATTGAAGGCAATTGTAGGCAAAAGGCCGAGAAAGAGGGCAAATCACTGGTCACTAAAACTGTTACCGACGACAAGACCACGAAATAAATGTATTAAATTGAATGATTAAAAATATATGACTCATTATATTTGGTTAAAAATTTATTGAAATTATAATCAATTGAAATAAAGCTATCATCGCTTCCATCTATCAAAATAAAATGATTGTTAAAATTAAATTTTAAGCGATAATAAAACTTACAATTTAAGAACTTTATCTTTGCCACCGCTTCCAACCTTCTCTCCATCTGGACTCCAATCCAAAGCATAAACCTATTAAAAAATTATTTTAGTTAAGGTTTAAATTGTTAAATAATAATACCTCGTCTTCATGTCCGGGCAAATCAATCATTAATTTCTTATTTATAATATCCCACACTTTAAGAGTTGAATCAGCGCTTCCACTCACTAATAGTCGATTATCCGCTGACCACGAGATCTGGTAGACAGCCTTCACGTGTCCGCGAAGTGATGTCACAAACCTAACAAATATCGCACAATTAATAAATTCAATAACAGTTATTCACTTTCCATTATTCACTCACTTTCCAGTCCTTCCGTCCCATAACTTAATAGACTTATCAAAGGAAGCGCTGGCTATGAGACGAGCGTCGGGCGAAAATTTGACATCATTTATAAGCTGTTGATGGCCTGTCATTCTGGCCACACATTTCTTATCCCTTTCGGGATACCATAAGAATAGCGTAAAGTCGTCCGAACCCGACACTAGTCTCT